ATGTCGATGACGTCCAGCTTGGCTTTAGGTCTTGCAATCTGGCATTGTGTGAGCGGCAGGTTCAATTAGGTTTAAACAAGCTCTCCAAATGGGCAGAGGAAAACGGATTCCGACTGAACCCACAAAAAAGCACGTGTGTTTTGTTCTCTCGAAAGAGAGGCATGCACTCGGAACCTGACATTCGACTGAACGGGCAACGTCTGTCCGTCAAAGCCGAGCATAAATTCTTAGGCCTAATCTTGGACAACAAGTTGACCTTCGTTCCGTACATCAAGTATCTAAAAACAAAATGTTTAAAAGCCATGAATGTTTTAAAAGTGTTGTCACGTACTACTTGGGGTAGTGATAGGCAATGCCTCATGAACCTCTATAGAAGCCTCATTCGCACCCGCTTAGATTATGGGGCCGTTGTCTATCAGTCTGCTACTCAAAGTGCCTTGAAGATGCTGGACCCCGTGCACCATTTGGGCATCCGCCTTTCTACGGGTGCTTTTCGCACCAGCCCCGTAGAAAGCCTTTACGTTGAGTCAAATGAGTGGTCGCTTCATCTGCAAAGAACCTACATGTCCTTTGTTTATTTCCTTAAGGTGAAAGCAGACAAGGAGCACCCCTCATACTCTACAATTAATGATTTGTCAAGCTCAACTCTGTTTCAAAACAGGCCTTCGATGAGGCAGCCCTTCTCAGTTCGCCTGAAGTGTCTAGCTCAAGAAACTGCAGTGTCACTTGAACACAGTTTAATGGCTCCTGTAGCATACCTGCCACCGTGGCAGTGGCAGACTATAGACTGCGATGTGTCTTTCCTAGAAGTTACAAAACATGCACCTATTGCCCATATCCGAACATACTTTATGGAACTTCAACAGAAATACACACGTCCTGAGTTCTTCACAGATGCCTCCAAGACTAACTCCTCTGTGTCCTACGCTGCTGTTGGCCCATCCTTTTCGGATGCTCGCCCTCTACATCCACGCACAAGTATCTTCACAGCGGAAGCTTACGCGATACTTGTGGCAGCTAAACACATCAAACAATTACAAATACAAAAAGCAGTAATTTATACAGACTCCCTCAGTGTAGTAACGGCTCTGCACACTCTTAAAAAACACAAAAACCCAGTCCTTGTCTCACTTTACTCCATTTTATGCACACTCTACACACTCAAACAACATGTTGTAGTGTGCTGGGTGCCAGGGCACCGTGAGATTCAAGGCAACGTGAGGGCGGATCATCTCGCTGCATCCGTCCATGAGAGCACCGCCATTACATCCATATCAATCCCGGCCCTTGATCTTAAGCCGTCTCTCAAACGAAACCTCCGGGACTACTGGCAGAGCAAGTGGGATACACACACACAAAACAAACTACACGTTATTAAGCCACACCTTGGTCATTGGCTGCCTGTATCGAAATCGCGTCATACAGAGGTAATACTAACGAGACTCAGGATAGGACACACATACACGACACACACATATCTTTTGTCTGGTGGCGATCCACCATTGTGTGACAGATGTGGTGAACCATTAACCGTCCTTCACATGTTAATCCAGTGTAAACACTTAGAAACTATAAGAAAACAACATTTTACATTACCCTACCGACAACATATACCTTTACACCCTGCAATGTTCGTTGGTAGGGAACCGCTTTTTAGTCATAAATCATTGTTAGCGTTTTTAAAAGAAATTCATAGTTTTCATATCATACACCCGGGCATTCCGTAGCACGACCTCTCTAGAGAGGTTTTTGCTGCGGCGGTTACACAAGAAAGCACTTGCCTCATGGCCCTTGGACGCAAGGGTGTGAACGAGTGAGGCACTTGTGCTAATGCCATTCATATCCACCATCGTTTTTTATAATCACCAACTCTTGTCATCTATCCTCACCACACACACGTTTCACGGCGTGGTCATGATTTTATTACTTGTATGTTTTTACCCGCCTTACCGCGAGGAATTTTATGGCCTTTATACAGCCGCTTATCACAATCATTGTCCATATTCTTAGTAACATGAACTGGCGCTCTTTGGCCGTGAAATGGCCCTTGCACCACAAAACTTCAAAACATCATCATCATCTGGGTTTTTGTGCTATTCTGTGTACATTGATGCTGATACTTCAATTGCAAAGAGCATATATATATATATGCCCTCCAATCATGGTCGGCATTTTCATCGACACTTTGTCACACATTCTGGGCACTTTTTCCTTGTAAGTACCGTATTTACTCGCGTAATGAATGCACTAGCATAATAAATGCACCCCCAACTTCACTCGTCAGAATTTCAATTTTTTTTTTTCTCCCGTGTGATAAACGCACTTCCTACATTCTTCCGCTGCAGTCCTGCCGACTATCACCCATGGCGCCTCCTTGTCCATTAGATCTCTTCCTTTTTTTATTATTATGCCGTCCCGCCTCGACCCGCTCCCTCTACCCTTGCCTGCTGCCATATTGTGTTTTGTTCTATCTGTGCGCAGCACGTCTCCTGTTTTTTTAATTATCTATGCCCCACAGCGACGTTCATGAACAGTGCGAGTGTAGAGGCATTGCATAGAAAAACACACACAGTGAGCAGAGGTCACGAAACTACTCGCGCCAACCGACAGTCACTTCCTGCAAATACGAGATCAAGACCCAACCACATGCATTCGATTTCCGAGTGACGACGGCAGGATTTGCTGTCGCCATGGCTGTCTTAAAGGGCCACTCATCATATTGTGTTGCAGGTTTCTGGAAAACCAGAAAAAAAATATCGCTTGTTGCCCAGAAAAGATTGTGACTATTTTGCCAACATGGTAGCACCCCCAATTCTCGCTTCGGTTGCAATTTGCTGTTCATGCTTTTTATTCGCGTGTACTTCAAAGATCCCTACCTTTTTTGTAGTAACTTTTCATGTAAGCAGTTAGGCGTTGGCCGTATTTTGTTAATCTTGTTATCAGAAGTATGTTTGATGCTTCGGTGGTAGCTTGCTGCAATGTTAGTTACGGCACTTGCTACAATGTCAACGGCAGCGGCGCGGTGGTCGTGCTAGGTTGCCAGGAAGTTGGCAAAGTGCGTCGTAGCACAGGCTTCTGGGTGTTGCTCGAGATCACAGCAGATACCACTGTTGCGAAAAATATAGTTGCGAAACGCTTTTATGGCATGCATGGGTGGCACGGGGGCAGCTTGCAGAAGATGCTGCCATCAACAACCGAAGTGCAACAAAGAAGCCTTTTCCAAACACCGTACGCACATGTCAATTGTGAATGGCTAAGCAACCTAACTTTTTTTCGCATTGCTGCATTTTTTTTTGCTCTTCTTGAAAAAGTTTTCATAAAATTTGCCCTGCATAACGAATGCACCCCCAACTTTGCCCCAAAAGTGTGTTCATTACACGAGTAAATATGGTAATTTTGAATTGCATTGTGTTTGTTGCATTCAAAACTGAAGTGTAAGTAGTTGTGAAATGTACAAGAATTTCACAATAGCAAGAAATTAGGTATGGGCTTTGTGTAAGATGTGCATGTGATAAATTATGAATATTTCTGGGTATGAGTACTTAATATTATAGGTTGGCAAAATGTGGAGCTCACGGACTCGCTAACGTATATACCTCACCCTTAGGGCTCACTCGGACTGACACTCACCAATGCTTTTCTCAACATGACTCATGCAAACTTAGGCTCACTAAAATTTTTCTCAGTCGGACTCACTCGGGACGCAAACTCGCCTGGACTCAACCTCTGATCCGAGAGTCTGACTGAGCCACCTCATGGTTGAGTTTACATACCTATCCTTGAGATACACAGAGCTTATGACAGTTCCTTTGAAACATCATTTCATGCTCATATTCTAAACCATGTAAGAATCTGATAGTCCGATGAAAGTGTTCATGAGCGTTTTCTCTTCATAATTGTATAGTACAGTAAAAGCTCCTTAATTCAGATTTCACGGGACCGGAAAAACTGTCTGAATCAACCGAATGCCGAATTAACAAATGAACAGGGAAAACAACATTTAAAATCAAGCTGCAGAAGCATACCTTTATTTGTTGAAGTATTTTGTAATTGTCGTCTGCGTTTTTGCGCAGATTCCGGCTGACATCACAATTTTTCTTAACTGTTCCAAATGGCCAATAGCACGCAAGCTGTCGGGAGTGTTCAGGCAAGCGTCCTCTAATATTAACAGCGCCTCCGAGACTTTCCGTGAGGTGCGATGAGGTCGCGGCTGTATCTCCTCGCATGATTCTTCGTCGGAATCGTGGTCTTCATGGGCGCCCGTGACATCATTAATAATCTCTTGATCGGTCAGGAGACCACTCGTGGTGACACCAAGATCAATGGCGATGTAGTCCTAAAAGGTCACATCTGTGGGAAGGACAGCATTGAAAGTCGGGCAGTCATCGTCGGTGGACTCGGTCAGTGGACTGTGAACTTTTTTGGCGTTGCCATCACTGTAGCGCAAGATGGTGGTGGCATGCAAATACGGTCACAATGGAAGAAAAAGAGAACTCCGCAAGAAGAGATGGTTCCGACACGACAACACAAGGGAAAATGGCGTCGGAGGCACTGAGTGGAGAAGAAAGACGACGCCGATGTTCGGTGACGCTGCGATCGCCCCCACTAGTTGATGATGATGGCGATGCCACTCAGGTTTCGGTTTCACTCCAGTGGTGCCAGCGCTGCTTTATCACACTTTTGTGTAGCAGCAGCCGTCAGCATTTGTCGGAATTAAGCGGTGCGGAGCCGAATTCCGACGAAATAACGAAGGTTTGGTCCCATAGATTAACATGCACTTTGGCTGGGACCAATAGAGCCGTCCGAATTATCCGAATTTCCGAATTAATGGGTGTCGAATTAACGAGCTTTTACTGTATTCTCAACCGCGCTTGTTTAGGGTATTGCATTTTCTATGGAAATAATCTTCTGTTTATTATCTTACCAGCAAACTTGTTGGGCTAAATGCCCTTTTCAATTAGCTTTTTCTTTTTTTAATCTGTCTCTTGTTGGTTACGCAGGTACGCCACTTCCGTGGATGGTGCGGTGTGCCATACGTGTCGGACTCAAAGATGCCACCGGTCATGGGCTCAGATTTCTTGCGGCAGAGCTCGAATGGTGGCTATGGTTCATCACCAGAAGTTGCAAACTCCATTGTAGACCCTGTGAGGGACAACAACATTTTTCAGGTAGGCGCTCTTTTTTTTTTCTCTCTCTCTGTTTTCAAGTGAGGGCCAGCCTGTCATTGAGTGAAACAGCTGGAATTTATTTTTTTTATTTAACTTTGTTTTGCAAGAGAACAATTACATTTTTACATGTTGAGAGTGTTTAATAGCGTTTGGTAGTCACCAGTGGGGAAAAAAGATCAGCAAAAACACTATGATGTCTTAGTGGCTGCAGCATTGCACTGCTAAGATTAAGGGATTGGGTTTAATTCTGGGTCACTGCAGCTGGTGTCATTCCTAGAGGTATAATATACCTGTTGCAACTGCTGGACGTTTGCAATAATAAGCCTTTAAGGGGAGACGCTCCTCGAAAGCACTTTTTTTTTGTTATTCAACTTAGAGCTTCAGAAATTGGACCACTGATGCAGTTTTTCCTCCTGATTCCAAATCTGTAATCAGTTTTTACATAAGTGCAATAGTTTGGGAGTTGTGTTTCAAGTAATGGTGAAACTTGATAAGTTTTCCGGGAACTTTCGCGCATACTAAATGTTCATGCAGAGAGTTGTTCAATGGCTCCTTTTGCTCCCTATTAGCCATAGAGTGCCGATATCTAGCTAGAAATTGTGCTCCAACTTTGAAACTATGAAAAAAACATCTGTGTAGCAAACTACCCTTTTTTTTCCACTCGACCACCATTAAATTTATTAATAGATATTTACAGCTGATAGGTTGTGCTGATTCAAGTAGATATCGGCACCCTACGCACTCTCCTCAATGTGTGTGCCAAATTTCGTCGTCGTATGACCATTCTAAGTGCCCGAAACACTTCCCGCAAAAAATGAAAATTGGCCAAAATTGCGAAATGAGAAAAACGCGTTTGAAAGTTTGAAAGTCTGTATTTACAAAAATGAAAAACGCAGTAGCACGAAACTTGTGCTGAACACATACACACATGTCCAGAGGGAATATCAGTTGTCTAAAACTCTCCAGCACCGTAGGTTTTCCCTTCCCGGCTGGTGCGGCAGGACTCTTCCACCCGGGCCCTCTTGGCTGCACTGCGACGGTGTGCCCTCGCCTCAGCGGTCTGACGCACATTCATCTTGTGCATGCGCATGCTGTCTCGGCGGTCGCTGAGGGTAACCAGGGCCTCCGAAGGAAGCACCCCAAGCTCTTCCAGCACCTTTTCAAAGCTCGCGTGGCCCCGGTTGAACCACAGGACTGCAATGGCTGTGGCTGTTTCCACAGCAGTCCGGGAAGCAAACCGGGTCTTTGGACACAGCAGCCATATTTTGCTGTTCAGGGACTCGGCCGCGTTCTGTGTCTTGCCGTGGAGGCACCGGGCAAGCAGCTTCGCATCTGTGAGACGCTTGTAGATTGGGAGGACTGCCAAACCCTGGGCCTTGGTCAGGAGGGGGGTGTGGCACGGTGCAGGCTGGCCCTGCGCCTCAGCACGTCGGTGCTTGCACCACGAGTCTGGGCCTGCAGGACAGAACTTGTGACTTCCAGCACCGTCTGTTGAGCACGAGTGCAAACATGAGGCCCATATGGCAGTGTACATCTTGTGGACATTTCCCCGATTGTTCACAATGGCCACCTGAAAGTAAGTTTGAAGCTTCTGGATGGTGGTCTCCTTCAGCTTCTCCCCTCGTGGAAGTGGCGTTGGCAGCTTCCGCAGGCCGGTGCCCAGACGTTTCGCCACGTGGTTGGTGCACTCCTCTTTTTCAATTGGAGTGTCAGGGTACACGTTGGCATCACAGACCCCGTTGTAGGCCTTGCTGTCTCCATCGCTTAGGAAGATGGTGAACCGCAGGGGTGTCTCATAGTCCACAGTCCTCTGCCAAATGCGCACTGCAGCTTCGGCCTCCATGGCATGCGAAGAACAGTCGCAATTCTTCTCACAAACGGGATGATGAAACGCCTGCCATGTTTCTTCATCGCCTCCCATGTCGTTATGCAAACTGCACGCCAGGCAGAAGTTGGAAAGCACTTCATAGTCCAGGCACAAACCAGTGTCCAAGGACACTACAGTTCCCACACCATTGTGGCTTTTGTGGCCTCTTTTTTGCCATGTGCCGTCAAACATGACTGGCACGTCACTGTTACCAGCCACCTCTTTGGTGACGCTGCGTGCCCTTTGCATGTTTTCACAGACAGCCTTCACTGCCGCACTGTGAATCTTTTTGCCGATAGCATGGAAGGTCTTATGGTGCATAGGGTTTGGCAATCCAACTACTGCACAAAATCGTGAAAGTTGCTCATGCCCGATACCGACGGCACGCGCTGCAAGCACCACTTTCAGGTTCACGGCAAAGGCGTCACGCGAACTCCCGCTGTCGTAGCTTCTGCTTGCACCGCGGCCGCCATCTGACGCGACCCGCTTCGACGAGTACGCGGACGAAAGGATGCTCTCCGAGCACTCCGCATTCTCGCAGTGTAGCTCCAGAAACGCCGAAAGGCCTTTCCGCTTTTTATTCGGTGCCCGAACTGCGAGTTTACTCTCGTGACAAACGGGGCATGCCGCGCCTGCGACGACGGCCGTCAATGCACCCAACTCGCACAGCACTACGCTTTCGGCACGATCGGCATTCGGCCTGACGTCGTTTTCGAATAACGCGATCTTTTTCTGCGATGCACTCACAAAATTCACTGCAGCGTTGATCTCGTCGTCGCAGTTGCCATGGTCGACGTTGCCGTGGTCGATGTTAGGCCTACCGGCCGCTGGCCCGTCGCGGACATTTTCGTTGGCGGTGGCTTTCTTGTACGTCCTCCGCCGCTTCCCTCTGAACTTGTTCTTACTTCTGTATTTCCGATGGTCGGCAACGGCCTTTTTCGGGCTTGCCATCGCACGAAAACAGCGAAAAATAACTCCGGAAAACAGTGAAGCGAACTACGGCAAGAAAACACGGGTGCTGTCAGCCAATGGCGGCCCTGCGTTAGTGGCGCGCGGTTTGAAACGGCGGGAAAAGACTGTTTTTGTTGCTTTTTTTTTTAGATTTTTCGTGAACGTACGAGACTTCAAGAACCGGGATCGTGGAGAGTAAGGACAACTCTACACGAGCCAGCGGCCGCAATATGGCGGACAGCTCTCTTCGCGGCCCCGCGAGCACGCGAACAGCAGCCCGTTTTGTGTAAATTTCGTGATGCCGCGCGTCACTGCCGCTCACTCAGACGCGTTTTTCACTGAATTCTGATGCTTATTTCGCTGTGATATTTTCAGATGTCAAAATATAATGTATAAAGATGATAAAGCAACAAAAAACAGAAAAGGTGAAATTTGGAAAAAAAACGCGACTTTTCGACCCGCGTCTCCCCTTAAGGGCGAATCAGGGGCTATTTTGAGTGGATCAAGTGAAGAGACATGAATGTAACAGCTATTTAGAAGGCTCTCGTGGATCTCTCTTGTGGAGGTTTTTAGCTGCAATGTGGAAAATTGGGCATCTGTATCCAGGCATGTGTATCATGGGCATGTGTATCAGTAGCTCATTTTAAGGGACCGACAACCGATTTTTCTTGACCCAGTTTCTTGGGGCACCTCAAAGCATCCCCATCCTTTCTAGTGTGTACAGCTGCAACAGTTATTTTATAAGCACTATTTTTCTATATGAAACGCCTCTAAGGTGTACAAAGGTGTCCTCCACAGTGAAGCCATAGTGATGCCGATAGCCTACCTCCCATTAATTTTGCTCGATGCTCGGCTTTCACTGGCGTGAGTGAAACTGTGGTTAACCACCTTCACATAGACTTGTTGAGCCATTTTTTAATGTAAAAGCTGGAAGAAGTTTTCAAATGCTTGTTGCTGCATGAGGTCTCATACCACTTCATGAGCCAGATGCTTGTGGCCTTTGTGGTGAGCTCCTTCGGCACGTTGCCAGAGGTAATCACGGAGGCGGCGAGGCGCTCTTCATACTTCTCCAACTCGTCAGCTGCTAGGCCCTCAGCTAAAAACGTTCATGCAGCCGCTCACAAGCATCAGATCGGTCATCAAGTGAAGGTGGCACCATGCTTCATAATATTTTTTCTGCTCTGTAACTCAGTATGCACAATTTGGTATGCTGCAATGCGTGCAGGAGTAGTGCTTATAAAGGCGAAATTGTTCGTTCAGAAATCTATGAGAAGTTACGATTTTCTTGCGACAATTAAAAGTGCTAAAGCGTTGTCACTTGTAGAGAAATAGATGTCGCACACATGATATTTGCGCTCTACGACAACGCAGAAATGTTCTCAGCAGTAAACCCAAAGCCAAACAGTGGTAATGCGCACTTGATGGAATGCTGGTGTCTGTTAGGACGGGAGCGTGCACGTGATAAGCAGCGGGAGCCAAGGAGGCAAAGGCTTGTTCATTGTCTCTGCAACCACTTCATCACAGTACGCGTTCGCATCACACTGATGCTGCTCCCCACCCCCAATAGTTTCATTTCTTTTTTCCGCGCAACTCCCCTTTTGCTAATTTCATGTCCCCTCCTCTTCCGTAACGCAGTGCTTCTGCTGAGAAGCATCGTCGCTTGCTTTATGACACTTTTACAGCAGCCGCATTATAGTCGGTCTTTCATATAGTGGGACTTTATCATAAGCAGTATGTGTATACAGAAATTTTATAGGAGGGTAAATGGGAGTCAGCAAAAATTCATTATAGCCTGTTTTGCAGTGGTAAGTGGTTATATTATAAATGGTATGAACTGTAGGTATATGGAAAAATTTTTCTTTTTCCTTTTTTCTCATTGTCCCAAATTACACTTCACACGTGGGTTCCTGTCAGTCTGGTGGGTTCCTGTCAAACTGGTTTATGCTGTGTACCTGCAAACTTATTTTTTTAGCATTTACAGAGCATGCTGCAGTCCACAAAGCAGTGCAGTCTATTGTGGAGAGTATTAGGCTCTGAGCACTCTCATTGAACAGCGTCACCAGGAAGTAGTGCTGGCTCATGTTGAGTTTGATCTGTTGTTATGTTGTGTATTCGAAAACGGGGAAATGGCATGGCTAGTAATCTCGTGTCCATAAAATCGGCGCGTTCACCTCTTGAGGGTCGAATTTGTTTTCACGGAATGCTCTCCGAAAATCTGGAATTCTTTTACTGAAATAAATTCTTCAGATGCGTCTATATAAGAAAAGAGTTCACGCTTCTATATTAGAAAATAGCGCGTCAAGTAGACGCATGTCCTGGAGAAGAAATTAAGGGTCCTGCGAGCTCATTATGTTCATCTATTTACCGTGTCTGAGCCAGCGTTTCCAAACCATCCTGCACAAACAGGCAGTAGACCACAAAGTAACGCTGGTTGACAAAACGCCATCGCTCTTGGGCTTGTTTGGGCACATCATGCCGGAAAGGGTAGAGATTTGTCTTGCAAAAGTTACGTAGGGCAAGCGGCAAGGGTTTTGAGCTTGCCTCCTCGCATATTCCTTTCGCACCGCTTCAAAGAACAGTTTTATCAGCTCGTGATAAACTGTCCGTAAAAGTTTTTGTGGCATAATGCTATTCTTCGAACACACAACTTCCACGGGCTAACTAAAATTTGTTAATAAGTCTGGTGAGTGGCCCTTTAAACCAGCCGCACCACGAATGCACTTGGATGCTTAAGCGATAGCCGTAGCGCGGCTAAAAATACGACGAAGAGACGTCGGCGCATGAAAAAAAATTCGACGTATTCCATAAGTGTGGCAGTACATGCCAAGCAGGACAACTGATAGATAAAGGTGCTCACTTTAAAAATGCAGGCAATGCTGTACATGTACGGCAAAAAAACCTTGAAGGGTTAATGGTGAACTTCTAGAAGTGTGCACTGATATTGCAAGCATGTGTGGCAGCACTTACGTTTTAATAACCCTGCTTATTCGTGGCCAAAATGTCCTGTGACATGTGGCGCGTGTCAGCGACTGCTCTTTCACTGGAATGCATTGCATTCTCTTATCTGTAGGTGTTCGTAGCTACTGTTAGCTGGCTGCACACAGCTCTGCTGGCATGAGCAAGGCAAACTACAGAAATTTGATGTAGTGGAAGGCTAGATCAACGTCGCTGGTCTATACAAATGTCATGTCGCTCGTGTTTTTTGTCATATGTATGTCCCGTGCGTCAACCTTTGTATGCTTGGTGTGCAGGAACGATTTGATCTGGATCTGGAGTATGAGCTGTACGAAGAGATAGAGGTGCCTGACTTCTCGCATGGCCGACGAGGACGCTTCATTCATGACTTTGCAGCTAACAAGACGGGAATCGTCGACGTAGAGGGACGCCGGTGCTTTGTGATGCCACTTAACCGCAGCCTTGTCTTGCCCCCACACTCGCTGTTCGACATGATTGTCAAGATGCGGGTGAGCTTTGAAGAATTGTAGAAATTTGCATTCTATACATCTTATGGCATCTTTATGATTTTGTGTGCCTGTCTGGAAAGTAAAATGAGCGAAAAGGCTGCAATATTTCTTCATCTTATTGCAGACGTAGTTCATTTTTTTGAGTCCCCAAAACAAGTAATACAACCATGGCAGCATCATCTTTGTAATTTAGCACCAGGCAGAAACAGGTGTATTTGTAACAGCATTGTTGTAAAAGATTTCAATTACAAGCAGCAGTTATAAACAAATTGTAGCATAAATTCTAATTAATAGGTAGATGCCGTTACAGTAGATGCCTAAGCTATGTGGCCTCTGCAAAGCAGCAAGGCTTAGCCTGACAATAAAGCGTTTCTAGCAGGCTTTCTCAGCCACCTCTGTTGATCGGCTTGCAGGGGTATAACGGCTGCGGCAACTCGATACAGTTCCCCATTTTTGCCTGACCAGCCTCAAAATGTTCTCAGTTGCACTAATTTCAGCTACAGTTTGCGTCGTCAGTCAATCCAAGCGCACAGACCCTAGGTACCATAACCATAAACCACTGGGTAAGATATATAGCCTAGTCATTAGGTCAGGACACTCACGAGACACAATTTATGAGGTTAACTAACAATGCGCGTCCCCCTTGGTCTGCCTACCGCAGCCGATACCCGTCGGCGGGACAAGGCAACTTCAAGACAAAGATGCGTTGCCGTATTTACTAACGCTTCGCGAGAAATGTGAATTTCCTAGTCGACAAACACGGCTATGTCGTGTTAGCAACTAAAGCAGAAAGTGTATGTCGTGTTTTCGCACGCGAACTCCACGTGCCGCAAACACCGGCAACAATGTTGGTTGCCATAGCAATGGCACATGAAACATTATTGTGCCTTGAAGTTGTGTGTTCCTGGCGATATACAGGGTGCCCCAGCTATCTTTAGCGAGAGTTTATAAATATGCCGACACAAGCAATGATGGCGTGACCAAATGCATGTTGCTGGCCGTTGCCTGGATTGAGTCGGACTATATTTTGTGTTATAATTATTTGTTCAACTAGGTTCATTTAAATAAATAACTTTAGAAGATATGAAGAGGGGTCTGAACCACATGAGGAAGTTGTAGATCGGTTTGTAAAACCTCCGATTAGATAGTTTCAGTATCTGTTAATTGTTAGTGTTTTTCTACTAACTACAAATGCCTGTGAAACACACGCACACACACACACACAAAGACGTGACAAACCCATTGGCACGCAGGCTCTCTGTGATTCTGGTGCTCCCTAACATTCCGCATATGAACGATACACTTTCCTCGCGCTGGTTCATGACAGCGATAACCAGTCACGATGGTTCTTGCTTTTGTGGCCGATAGCAAAGCGTGTTCACCGCAAAGCCACTGCCATCGTTGCGGCCCTATTGAGACAGCACAATCAGACAAATGCTATGGCTGTTCGTACGCAGAACGTTAGGGAGTTCTAGAATCGTTGTGCGCACTGGCACTTGAGCGGGCTTGTCACATGTTATTTTTTGTATTTTGAGGGTATTTGTTGTAAGCATAAGAACACTAAAAATTAACAAATATAGAGCTAGAAACTGTCTAGTCGGACATTTTGCAAACTGATAAACTCTCATTGGAGTTTCTGGTTCACTTGGTTCATTTTCATTGCTTAAAAAGTTTGCTAATAAAGGTGGCCTAATGAAGCAATTAATCAGGGAACAATAGATAGTCTCACTCACTCCAGGCAACAGTTGCCAGGATGTATTTGATCTCGTCGACATTGCTTGTGTCGGCATATCTTTAAATTGGCTAAAGGTAGCTGGGGCACCCTGTATATACAGCGCAGGCGCCAGGCCGACGAGCATGCGCCATAGTTGCTTTATCTGGTTGAACGCGCCTTGCGAGCGAGCCGAGAGGTTGTTGTCCTAAACGGAACTGCACCGTTGAAAGAAAAATTAATGAATTAATAATTAGGGAGGGGGGTGTCATAGATGTGTTTGAAAATTTCTTGACCTTGTTCTGACCTGTGCAGAACGCTGTTTTAAGTGACCTTCGCCTCAGCACATTGGTGCCCTGCAGAAAAAGGGTATAAAAAAGGAAAAAGGGGATGTTAGCTCTAGTCATCGGACACAGCCCATTTTGTTCAATCACGCGTGTGTGTATATTTTTTTTTTTTTTTTATTTATCACATACTGCGGACCAAGTATGGTCCATGCAGGAGAGGGCAATACAGTACAAAATTCTTCTACATACATACACTTCCGCTGCAGTATACATTCACTGCAGAACAAAATTCATGTACATTAAAAACTCATGAAAAACAAAGGACAAATACAGGCAAAGAAGCAGACTTAAGCAACAAAAAAAGGGTATAGTTTCATCTCGGCGTGTTGAGCATAGGGGAATATGCCACATAATTGTGAGTATTAGTATGATCACAAACTGCTACAAAAGTTACTGGCAATAATTTGAAGCCCTAAAGAAAAAAAACGACTGTGTGCCAGTTTTTTTTTTTTTTTCATCAACCCTTCTCCACAGTGCTACGAATTCCTTGAATTTCAAGGTTGCCAGCTTGAGAGATCCATATTTCAATTTGTAGAGTCTGTGAAAGAATTTGATAGGTGCAGCAAATGCTAATGGGGACTTGATTATTGTTTGCTCAGTGTGGTAGTTATACGGGCTTATATTTTCAAAGTTTATCAGTTTTATAACTTAACATATTGTACTATATATAACTTGAACTCTCATGCTATACAAATCTTGCTACTTTTTAAACTTGCTTCCACTTCACTTCGAACCAGTAAAGTGACAGTCACACGTGCCCGATTCCAATTTTTAAATATATTGGGCAAGTTAATGCAGTTCTGTTAATATTTCTTTTTTGTTGATGCAGTCTCACATGTGCTATTGTGTAAAAAGTTGTTACTTCGATGAGTTTCAGCATCTAAAACTTCATGCTTTCTCATAGAGTCCTATGCCTCATAGTCTTATGAGGCAGTGCCGTGAAAGCATTCCAAGTTTCAGTCATGTCCGAAACATTGGTCGTGTTATCGATCTTATTGCCGATGTCTGTTGGCATATCCCATTCGATATTATAGTTTTCCCACAGCAGCCTGCTATCCTCTTGCTTTTTTTTAGCACTTCTTGTTTATAGCAATTATCAGTTATAACAGAGATTTTTCATGGCTCTTGAATATTGTTGGGTGTTCGACTGTGTATGTAGGCAAATCTACGGAGGCTTCGATAGCGTGCCATTTACAATGGTAAAAATAAAGTGCACAGCTTTTCTACTTATGTGGATAGCGGATTTAGTTGTAAATTGTGTTTTCAAGTGTAAGTGGCCCTTGCTTACCTGAACTTCTGTCTTTTAAGGACTTGCTTTTAATACTAACCAGCTTCTTTACTAAACATCTGTTCCTCCTTTCCTCTTCTCCATTTTACACCAGGCTGGCTACTATGACGTGGACACGGAAATTGTGCGTGAGCGCATGCGCGTCGTGACGCCCCCCATCCTGGACTTTCGGGACGTGGGGTACTACATCACCCGCGAATGCTCTTCACTGCCCACCTATCGCCTTGAACGTATGACTGTGCCAGGTACGTGTATTATGTTTAGTTTGACTAGGAGCATTGGAAGCTTTAGACGTAGAGGTTGAAGATGCAATCTGCCAGGTGTACAAGGCATTGTTGTTTAGGATTAGGGCCTTAAGTTAGCTTTTAATTTCACTGCAATTATTTTCTGCAGCTCATTTGCCGTCTAAGCAGCACACACTCCGTCCATTCTAGCTGTACATACTGTGCCTCTCGCAATCAGGAAACCGAGGGTGTCACAATGTACCGTGTTGCGGAAGATAGTGAGGTGTCAGACGAAAATGGGCAGTGGGCATCAACATGGGTGTGACATTGTCGGAGGCTGTCACATCAGCCCTAAAGCGATGCTGTACACATTGTGTTTCTTGACGTCCAACCCAGCGAAAACCAATGGATATGCGTGCTACTCTCATGTTTCAAACATTTCCTTTCGGGAACGGAGATCTGAGCAAATTTGTAAGATTGCACACTCGAGCAGGTTGCGCAAACAATAAAGACACAAGCAACAGATTACGCTGATCTTGTGTCTCCCTTACTTGTTTTAGCACTTGTCTCTGTTAATTGTTTGTGTCTTTGTTGCATGTGCTACCTACTAAAGATATGCAACATTTCCCGAGAGAGGGATCAACCATCATTTTTTCTTATTGCCTCTCGCAGTGTTCAAGCGCAGCCTCGAGGAAAATGACCGTGCCACGTTTGTCGAGTTTGCCGGCAACAAGGTTGGCCAAATTGAAATTGTCAACATCAAGGAAGCAGTCGGAGCTGGAAGCTCCCAAGCCTGAGACAGCAGAGCCGGGATAGTGTCTGCCATCAACCGAACAGACACAAGGGCATGGGGCAAGTGGACGGACAACGGGAGTTCAGTGCACTCATGTCTGCAGTGTCTGGTGCTTTCGTCATCCTCTGAAGGCACCTTTGTGGCGGCACATTTTTTGTCCCATGTTCGTTCTTAGTCCTCCCACTTTGTTAACTTCTTGGTAGTAGTCGAGGGTTGTTCCATGTGAAAGCGACTGTCACTCATATGTCGTGATGTTTCTCTTTGTTTCATTCTTTAGCCTTTCTTAACTTTACTGGTTCAGTACTACAGATATGTCTAACACTATCTACTTAATCTGGCAACTGCTTCTTTGCTTTTATTTTTTTCACTGTCATGATATTGAGGGGCATTTCTGCTATTTCACTAATTTGTTAACTAGTAAACACAGCCAGTGTAGGCTAAACGCACACATGCACTATTTCTTACTTTATTCTCGCAATGTTGTGCTTTTGATATGCATTTCATTCCGTTCTTTCTCCTTTTGCTCGGTTTCAAAGGGGTGTCTAGTCATTCTTACCAGAATAGTTCATGATGGCGGTTGCAATTGTACGTCTGTATATCTCAGTCTTTTGTGGGAATTCATTATTTCTTTATTCCTCCGTAACCGTTGAGGGACTGTGTGTGTTTGAGCTATCTTCCCAACGTAACAGGCCTGTTGACACTGATTCGAAAAGTGTCTGCACGACGTAGGTGAACATGTACAAAAGATTTGACACATTCGGCACTGGCAGTGCTGCTGTGTCTCCTCTGTTCTTTTTGTCACATTTATTTTGTGGGCCGTAGGGCACATGAGCTTGTAATTCTTGAAAGGGGACTGAGCGTACACATGCACCTGCTTTTTGCTGGGCTATCGGAAGCGACGCTGCACACAATTTAGCGCAAGATTGCTGTGCTCTCTCATCACTAGATTAGTTCACCATCAGAAGCGTAACAACCTCTGCTATCAGTGGCAACTTGAGTCTGTCCGTGCACAGGTGCGATCCAATGTGTTGTAATGGTTTGAGCAAGTTCACACTGTTCCGAGGAGTTTCTCTTGATGACGAATTCAACATGTTATCTGGCTAGGTTAGCAGCAGCGCTTGCTTTATATTTGGTTCACCAACTTTATAAGATCGAAGAAACACTGCACTCTTCATTTGTACGAGCTGCAGCTCAAGTCACAACACGAAGTGTGCAGTTTTGCTAATGCTATATACCAACACTTTTTGTGGGCTCCCATGGGTAAAATACACCTAAAACTTGTTTCACAGCGGTGTTGTAGGCACACCACTAAACTCTTAAAGTCCATTTCAGGCATTGCCAGTGCCATGGTACATGTTGAAATGACTGACGTACACTTGTAGCATATTATATATACAAATATATACACATATGTCTATTCTATGTATATTTACTCAGGCTTGCCATGTATTTGTCTGGGTTTTTTGTTTCAGTTTCCTACTTTTCCTAAACAGTAAAAAAAAGGAAAAAAGCTTTCAGAACAAAATGTAGTGGCCAAGTTTAGCACGCTACGTTGTTGCCTTGCTCAACCATTGGGCAAGTAGGAAAAATAGGAGAGTACAAAGGTGGTGGAGTTCCCCCCAAGCGTGTATACATTCTCTGGCTTTGGTGCCTTTTGGCTTTTTTGTTATATGCATACTCATGTTCTTGCTTTTGGCATAAGTTTGCATTGTTGCTTACATTCATCAATTGATTGAGTAGTTTGTGTTCAGCCATGAAGCCATTGCATTGCAGGTACGTCATGGTTCACAAGAGGTCTTTAAAAATGACAAAGCTGTTAATCAGTGATCACTTGTTTGCTAAATGTTTGCTCTCGTGTCCAACAGAGCGACCAAGATGTGTGCATCTTGTGTAATATTTGTTGAAAATATTGAAATAAAAAATACAATAAAGTTCGAGAAGCAGTGGATTAATGAAGTTTAAGACGTCTCAGTGCTTTCGCAGGCGTATTTCTTTTTTTTTTCTCTCAATTTATCTCTAGTATGCCATATTTTCATATAGGTACGTTTTTTATTTGTACACACTTCAGTCTGGCCGTATGTTCAGTTGCTCCATTTTGAAAGGGTTTCGTGCCATGCCCCTGACAAATGCTGCCATGCAGGTTCAGGGTTTGAAAATCGAGCACATCTCAGAAAGAGTGTTGCTATTACAAATACCGCTACTACTTGTACTGCTGGTATCGCACAGGATACACATGACCATGATGTTCGCACAGTTCCATCGACTGCAGTGCACGAGTAAAACCTGTGTATTGTCATAGTGGTTCCATTCTTTCACATTGTCTCCTTTCGAATTGGTTAATAAAAGGAGCTCGGAAGAGGTGAAGTTGTGTCTTCATCAGCAGCCTCTCTGAGGAGCTGGCCAATGCTGTTCCGAATGTCGTAGCGCAGGTACCGTGTCACCACCATGACGAAAAGGTTGAACATCAAGACGAGGTTGGATATGAACAACATTACGATGGACCAAGTGGCATTGTACCTGGTGGGTATAAAAAGGACAAAAAGAACTGTATTAGGCCTTGCTGTACACATTTTTACAAGAACGGTGTTAAGTGTGGCATTACTTGCACAAATATAAATGCAATACATTATGCTTGAAGGACAAATTATGTTGCAGTAAAAAAAAAAAAAGTCTGGCAGAAATAATGCTCCCAAACAGACCAAAGGCAGCAGAAGTGTTTATGTGGGAGTGTTCGCATTTGTTGTGATGGTGAGTGCAGTCGTTCAAGCCAATTCATGGCTACGATATGCTGCCCAGGAATGGTGAAATGAACATCTTGGTTAAATAATCCACAGTATTCGACAAGCACGAGCACTCGTCACTGAATATGCGTAATGCCTTGGGATGTGTGCGTGGGAGTACTTGCAGGATGGAGTTAAAAGGTTCAAGTGAAAAAGGAACGCTGCTAACGTACGAAATAACTGCACGGTTTTGGTGAAGGCCAGTCAACCGGCCGCAACGCTAGCAAAAATGTAAATGTGTGCATGTGTCGCATGAAGCTCGCGTCAAGCTCGAAGTGCCGATAAAACGGTATTGCGCAGGTCAAAACGAAAATGTATATCGATAGCCTTCTCATCCAACAAAGTGCACTAAATGTCACATGGCAACTGCAACTAATCACAGACGCCGCTTAAAGACTCCGATATCGAACGACTGATGATCTAGAAATCTCGAGGAAAAGTGATCGACAGGCACCTTGGTTTTTCGGTCCGTATGATAGCTAGGATGCGCCCACGTGGTATACATGGATCTTTCTCTTGCTTCGCGAAGACGCTTAAGATTCGGCTGACGACTTCGAGTTCCTGTTGGCGTTCTCGTCGCACGTCCTCTGCTTTTCCGTGACAGATGCCAAAAGGTACCACGCATCCCATCAGCGTGACAGCAACAGCTAGCACGTTATTCGCCGACATCGCCTCGGCGATGGCTGTTGAGAGAAGTGCTGAATCAACTCATCACCCTACTAACTTCACCAGCGTGGTAATACATCGACAGATTGCTGAGCGACTGGTAGAAATGAATGTTTTCTCGCGCACTAGCTGAGCCAACCATTCGAACACGTCACAACAAACACGACGACACCCGCTTCATACATCCCTATATCAGCTGAGCCCAAGGAGGGAATATCGTACCTCTAGGCTCTGTGTATACCACCACACTGTCGTCATGACAACGTATGCCCAAACAAGATGGCCGCCAACACGTACGAGCTGCGCTTGGCGCCCGATAAAAAGTAAGGATTTCCGTAGTTCTACTGGCTTTTCAGCTTGATCTGTTTAAATTTGAAGTTGTATCGATAGGGGTTGATGTGCAAGAGCTCCGCTGCTTGCAGGTTTTCCTCTCAAGTAGCCCGAGATTGTTTGAAAGACGTTTTGATGACTGAATTCGACGACAAAATTTACGATCCTAGTCAGGTTGCTAAGTGGACGAAAGAAATCTCCCAAAGAATATGCGAAAGACTGCAAGGTATATTATCCTTACGGGTTACCTTTCGACGTCTCATGTGCGCTCAAATTACATTTCAGAACTTGGTTTCGAAAGGTACAAGTACGTGGTGCAAGTTGTCATCAGCGAACAGCGCGGTGAAGGAGCAAGGTAAGTATTGTGCGTATTGTGTGATTATTGTTTGTATTGTAGTCAAGTGCGAAACATAAAATGCAGAGGTCGACAGTCTATTGGAGACCTTTGTTGGTCAAACGACTGCAGTGCCTTAAAACATTCAAGTATCGCTCTCTTGATTAACTGCGCTTCCCTGTGAACTTTTGCAATATGAATTAAGTCGACCACTGTAGTACTGTTCGTTTCATACAAGTCATTTTTCTCTTTGCAGAATGGCTTGCCGCTGCCTTTGGGACTCCGACACCGATGTCTGTGTTTCAGAGTTCTTTAATGGAGTAAGTGTCTTGCGGTTTTCGTGCAGTGACACTAACGTGATCTGACGGCGTTTACCTAATTTGAGGCTGCTTGTTCCAAAGGACAGCCTGTTCTGTGCTGCCGTTGTCCTTGCCTCGTATTACTACTAGTCCCATGGCTATTGTGGTAAGTTGCATTGTAGTCCTTCTATGTGTGAGTATCTCGCTATTTGTTGACATCAGCTTTTCTCCAAATTCCTCTAATAATCCATGATGCTAACATCGGTTGCTTTTGTTTATTTCGAATGCAAGTGTAAACTGCTTCAAATGTGTGACATTGAGGTATGTTACAAGGACCGTGAATTTGTTAGAATAAGGCAGCTTATGAAGCACAGCATTCTGACGCAGTTCAGAATGGCACAGAATTGTTACTTAGCTGAACATAATCAATTTTCTGTTTTAACAAACTGCACTCCCAGCATACTGCTCACAGAACAGAAAACAACTTGTTACCCGCTGCCAGATCCTGAATTGGAATCAGTGCTGTGAAACTCCCTTGCAGCATCTTTCAGAAAGGTTTCAGGCTACCACAAATGTTTCAGCTATACCAAATAACTAGCTGCAATCATTACATTAATTTGACTTGAGTTAAGTTCACTGAAAGCCCTTGCCTGACTGTTTTATTACCATGGAAGATACACATTACAATACATTACATTACATTCCTATTTCTAACTAATAGCAGCAGAGTGCCCAGCAGATTCTTTTGGGCATCACAGCATCATGCAAAGTTTGATCACTCGTGCGAATGCAACACATGTGCCTGGATACATTCTAATAGTGTCGATTACACAGTGGACCTTTATTATTGTTTTTGCTGTCACATTTTCAACTGTGAGTTTTACCTGAAATGATATAGTTCCTTCTTTGTTGTTGTGACCTGATCAAGACTTTACCTAGGCAAGCTTCATCAGATAGTGCCGTGCAGGATCAGATAGGGCAGTATTTAAGATTGCCACATATTGCCAAGAACATAGCTGACCAACTTTTAACATCTGCCATGCGTTTACTCCATATGATCAAAATGTTTTGAGAATAATTTTACTCTCCATCATGCGAGTGACTATCCTATTGTCAAATAATGTAGCAACTGAGTAATGCGCATTACGTGTGATGTCTTCATGTGCATGATCCAAGCTCTGAGCTTGTGAACTGCCTTATTTGACATGCATGTGCTTTTGGACAAGTGTTATTTCTTATGCCCCACCACTCTGTAGATGGTATTAAACAGACTTCTCATGGTGTCTTGAAAGAGCCTCTCGAGTTTTGTGTGCCAGCAATCCAGGCATCACCAAATGGGGTGAATTGCCAATCATCACATTTTCATCATTCACCAGGCGTTCTCCACACTAATGGATCAGTGCCAGCATACTAGATGAAACGATGCTTCTTGTGCAACAGTTAGTGTATTTCAGAAAGATTTAGACAAACATCAGCACAGAAAATAAAGAGCGAGTAATAGTTGATACCAAAGGCTGAAGTTATCACAGAAGATGTGTCACGGATGCTTGGTTTTAAAAATTCGTGTGGTTGAGCAACAAAAAAAAAATGTTCCCTGCATGTGTGCTGAGCTCTCAATTGTTTAGTGCAAATAACAGAATTTATCTTCAGCAATCTCTAAGCCTGATGAACATCCATTTCTACTTTATGTGGAAACATCACAGACAAGTGTGGCACACATTCTGTCACCTAAAAAGCCCACCGACATCCTAGCAGCTTTTGTGTTGTGTACTTTTATTTGGTGTGTATGCCACTAAACCATTCTGTCCCTGCATGTGTGATTCTCCAGCATTATCACATGGCACAAGTGAGATAGACTGCAGTAGTGTAACAACACACATTCTGGGTCTTAAATTTTTTTTTATGAACCTACCATAGTCTACAACTTCATACACTTCATCTCTTGCTTTTCTTTAATCTTCATTTTGTCATTCTTGACACAATGGAGATCTTGGAGCTTATCGACACAAAATGAAAAGGTAGTGTTAGATGCCTCTTCTTAGAATAACAAAGAAGGATAATGCTATATGAAGTATCTCTTGCCTACTTATTCTTCTCAATAAATAGCCAAGTGGTTTTTCCGGTAGAGTTTACTAAAACTAACTAGAGGGGACTCTGTTGCTGCAATCGTTCAGCGACCATGGGAATGATGGATAGTACACATATTTGCCTAGTCTTTGTACTTGCGACTTCTCTTATTGCTCTGTTTCGGTTTTGTTTCAAAGAAAACAACGAACCATTTTGAATTTTGTGATCCAATTTGGAAAGGTACGTCTAAAATAACTAGGTGGTGAAGTGCAACCGCTGAACATTTGCTGATTTTTGTTTCATGAGAAAACAGCTCCAAGCCACACGAACACACATAGAGCTAGAAGCACGAAGATTAGAAAACAGCTCCAAGCCACACGAACACACATAGAGCTAGAAGCACGAAGATTAGACAAATATGTGTACTACCTGTCATTCCCATGCTCGCTGAAGCGCTGTGCGTTGCAGCTTCCATAGACACTAGCGCCAGAGTTCCCTCTAGTGTATAATAGGAAACTCCATGGTTTTACCTATTGTACAGGCTGTGTATTCTTCGGTCGTCATTTATGAACACTGAAATTGATGGATGTAGCCTCCATGTTTCCATTACCTATTCTTGTTTGAACAAAATAGGCATCATTTTTTCATATACTTTTCTTGCTATGAATTTTCCAGAGGCAAAAGCTGATCATGAATCAATTTTTGGAACTTTCTAGTGCCGTAGAAATAATTTGCAAAAGTTTTTTTGCTGACACTCAGATTGTTGCATTTTATTAACCTAGTCCAGCTGAAAGCTGTGCGACATCAAAAGACATGAAATAAAGTAGATGCACGGAGTTAGTAGCATTGATACACAAGAGTAGAAAAGGCAGACAGACAACGAACTTTATTGGATCCTGAGCACTTACTGACAGGACCCGCTACCGGGAGGCTGTTGTAACCGCTGGATGCGCCCCAAATAGTGGACAGAGCACCGTGACACCCAACCCTGACATGAAATGAATTAGATGCACAGAGTTCGTAGTATTGTACACAAGAGTAGAAAAGGCAGACAGACAACGAACTTTATTGGATCCTGAGCAGTTACTGACAGGACCCGCTACTAGGAGGCTGTTGTAACCGCTAAATGAGCCCCAAATAGTGGACAGAACACTGTGACACCCAACCCTTTCCAAGGTCCTCTGAATAGACTGTGCTTACTTTCAAAGTACCGTGCTTCTGATGGCATCCTCCCCTTCGACTTTGCTAGAGAGAAGGTTGTTAGGGAACATGGGACATCGGCAGAGTGTGGGAGCCATAGAACAGAAGGTTTCACTGTTGTTCGGACAAGGGTGAACGTCCTAATATTTCTTACTGAGAAAGCCCCTCAATAGGAACGGCCCGATCTGTAACTTTCTCAGAGTAACTGGCTGAACTCTGGTGAGTTGCGGATGAGAATACTCACCCACCGTGTTGGTAATGTTTTGTGATTTCTTTAAGTGTTACTAGTGGATAGCTCTGAAGTGCAGAGAAGTGAATAGTTTATTTCTTCAAAGAGACTAATAAAGGATAAATCATATTGGCACTTGAAGTACTGACAAATGAAGGCTTAACATGCATTCTTTCATTTTCACTTCCACCAGTACCTATTAAGGTCAGCATCATTTAAGGCATAAACTATATTTTACAACCACATGATTAGAGACCCAAGATTGTGCTCTTGAGTTATCGCTCACAGAACCTATTGTACTTTGTAGTTTCTTGCTGACAATACATTTGTCCCTGACGGTACCTACATGTGCCGCCATCGGCCTGTGTTCTGGCTGTATGTATTTTTCTATTAGATATAGAAAAGTGCAACTGTATATTACAGGAAACTCCTAGATTAACGTACACTTCCGATTCTTGCACTGTGAAACCAAACTGCTCTCCTACTTTCAATAAATGTAAATAACTTATTTATTAATCGTCTCTCCCGATTCTCTTTGTTTCACCCCGTTGGCACAGAGCAGCAGACTAAGGGAGTCATCCTCAAGCCGAGTTCTCTGCAATCTTTAAAGTAATTTTCTCACTGCATATCTTCATTTCTTTTTCGTCTCTTACTGGGCTACCAGTGAATTCTGTAAATAAATTGTTCTTGAAATAAACTTACATTTTAGTTTGTACAAAATGTATTGTCTTTTACATATGTTTTTCTCCTGCTACGTAAGAATGCTTCTATAAGCACGGGGACGGCAGGGGGAGGGGGCCACAGAGTTTGCCTCACAGGTTTAATAAGTTGAGGCAACGCGGGTTTTCAACGATAATGATGGCCGAAGGTCTGTGATGTTGCACTCCAAGAATTGTGTACTTCCCATCTTTACTACAGAAAAGCCAGGGTGCTCATTTTGAGAATCAAATTATCGCTTTCTTTTGTTTAATTTTTTTCATCCATTGTGGAGCATGTTGTTCTTTGGTCTCGACCAGAGGGAATGGAGTGCTGGGGGGGGGGGGGGGGAGGGTTCTGCGATGACACTTTGCCTCGTCTAAATACTTTGCCTCCCCTATGCATGCTTGCGGCTGCTTCAAGTGCAAACACATTTTTGTTTCGCCTGAAAGTGCTTTCTCTGGACATTTCGGGCCTTTGAATTGAACAGCATCTAAAAGGTTAAGGAACTGCACTAATGATTTATTTTAAGCAAATTTTAACAAGGAGATACATGCCTGGGAACATTCTCGTTGAAAATGATCAGGCAAAACTAGCCTTGAAATAAAACATTACATGCTTGCCCGGCCCATTTGTGAACGTCTGTCAGTATGCAGAGCTTCACAATTCGGTGCACCTTTCTTAGGGGCACTAAATTGTGTCAAATGAAAGGCCAAGTCGCGAAGAGCCTAGACTATGTACTGCTAAGCGTGAAAGCACCTGCAAAAGTAATTACGGTATGTCTTCAAAACTAACCATTGGTCTCTACTGTACCCTAACCAGAAGTGTGTGCACAAAGGGGGAGGGGGCAGGGACCCCCCCCCTTCCCCCTCAGTCACCTAAGAGGAGTCGGCAGCACGAAGTCAGCCCCATACATGAACTTTATAGGGAGGGGGTGCTGCGAGGAACCATCGCCTCTCTCGTAAGGGGGGCCTTGCACTCGCATATGACCCTGACGTCACAACACGGTATGACCTTCACGTCACGAGCTCATGCTAGATGTCAGCCATTTTTAATGTTTCGGTGACTTGCAAGCGGCCATTTCGGAAGTTTTGGTACCTAACGTCATCGCAACTAGCCAGACTTCATGTGAGATCACCAAAATTAATTATGTAGCTGGACGTCAAGCTAGTGACGATGTCGGCAGATGCACCATGGGAAAATTGTCTTTAGAGTGGCCCAGCTGCAACACGTTTTCAGCATGGTCAGAAAAATTTGCCGATCAGTAGTCAAGGCTCCTGAGAACAGTGAGCCAAACATTGAGCACAGCGCGTGACCTAGAATTTTCAATTGTTTCTCTCATGCGGCTAGAAGTCGTTCCCGCTTGACGTGATTCCATGAACCACAAATGATTGAACCGTAAACCCATAATCCAAACCAGTGGCCGCTTCAAGCATCGTGGCTGCATACTTGTTGTTGTTGTTGCTGTTCACCTATTGGTAGTGGCGCATACCCACTATGGGGGATTGGCCAAGAATCGAGTGGTTTTAAATATTACTGTTCAGATTTGGAATAATGGAGGTATAACAGAAAGATTACTGACAGCCTAGGAAAGTGTGGTGCTTAATGTAATGCATACAATTATTTACATAAACGATTTTATTCTTAGAATTGAGCAATAATTTGATTTTGTACGTATATATATAATTATGTGGACATGTTAGTATAATGGAACTGGTTAATTAGTCAATCTAATAGTTTCATAAATATAGTCCTGGACGGCCGCGCATACTTACTGTGGCCACCGCGAGATGACGCCACGAGCCCGCGTTCGTGATCACACTGACAGCTCGCCGCGCGTAAGTGTTCTGTGTCATGGCGCGGGCTGACAAAAGAACGCACATTCTTGCCCCTTTCCCCCCCTTGTCACTACCACCCCTCGTAGCCTTCAGCGCGCTCGCTGGTACGGGAGGAGGGAGAAAGCGCTTCAAGCGTGCAACAAATCTCTGCAACTCCGCTCGTACTTGACGGATTCTGAGAATTTTTGTGGCAGATGATTCGAGAGGCAATAAGCTCGTTTAATGAAGCCCTTTGGTTATTGTGCGTGGTAAAGTGCTGCAGTGTCTTTTTTAATATCACAATAAAATATCAGCATTTGCTGAGCTTCGCATTTCTTCAGAGCTGTCTCTCTGCATACGGGACATACGTATGTCGGTTTAAGCTTCATAAAATTGTGTCAGTAGTTGTGACACAAACCTCTCAGTTGACTATCGATAATATCGATAGTTTCTTTTGAACTGTCGATAGTCTAAAGAAACTATCTATAGTACTACAATTGGTAAACTGTCGATTATCTTGTCAATAGCGCAATTGACATTGCCCTCTTTGGTATCACTACCGACATCACTATCAATAGTGCTGTGAATAAGTGTGCTGTTGGTGGCCGGCGATAATGCCAAAAACGTCATCTTCCTCTTCGTCTTCGTGTTCCGCTTTGCCGTCAAGACTCGTGCGTCGATTGCTCCGATGTGGGATGTAATAACTTTAATGGAAGAGACAACGAACACAGAAAGATGGAAAGAGAAAGAATAATAAATATGGAGAAATTCTAGGCAGAAGACATTCTTTCTAAAGCGCCGGTGCTAGAAGCAGACCTGAGCCACCTCTTATGGACATGCCGTGGGCTTCAAGCGGCTCATCGGCGCCATATGCGGCGTGCGGCACTCCAATAGAGGAAACGCAGCTGCACAATTTTGTGTAATATGTATTGATGTCGCAGGGCAAACTTACGTAATTAAAAGAAAGGGTATATCCACAATCCGGACAAATGTGAGGGCGAGGTGGATGGCACAGATTGAATCATTACATAGAAAGAGAAATAAAGAAAGAAATGGAGAGGATGAAAGACAGAGGGAGATAAAAATGATACAAGAGAGAATAAAAGAGAGGGATAAATAGCAGTCAGGGATAGAAAGAAAAGTGCACTCATGCAGAGAGGGAAAGAAAGAGAGAGAAAACGGAGATACTGAACAATAGAAATACCAAGAGAAATACTTAAAACAAACGGAGATAATAAAGCAGACAAAAAAGAGAGAAAAAGAAGAAAATAGGGGAAAGAAGAAACAAAATGTGCACAACTTAGCAAAATAACCACATCCAGTACTGTCTAGCTGTCCATCAGCTCCCATGTCTGTTAAGTATATGCGCCTCCAGTGCAAGATACGCTTTTTTTTTGTCAGTGGGACATCTGTAACTTTTCAAAATTCATTAAATAAGTTTGTTAAGCAGTCTCAGTAAAGAGCACTTGACGAGGTCTGAAAATCTAGTATGCAGTAAAAAGTAAAAAGAGCACAAGAAGAAACTCGATGAATGAGTCATGATTGAGCCTTCATGAAGCTAGCTTGCCTCATCGGCACGTCAGTACGTTTCGGATTTTCATAGAATTCTCATGCACCCACTTTTAAGAGATCTTTATATGTAGAAAATAACGACAGTTTGTGTATACATTTACTTAAATTTAGTGAACAAGGCTCATCTTGCAGAGCTTTAAAAACATGCGCAGAAATGATTCGCACATGCTATGATGAATAAAAATCCTGTACATCGCGTGTTCCATAAAAAATTTTAAAAGGGAAAGTAAATGAAAGCGTTAAATTCTAAAGAAATGTACCGTTCTTGTTAAGTGTTTTTATGCATATACTACAAGGCATACACTATTTCTGACCGCTCTGAATATGTACTAGTTTTATACACCTAAAATACGACCTGAGTGAGATAAAAACAGCTGGCGCTTGGTCAAGCTATAACCTTGTCCTCTTCAAAGTGGCTGCCAATTAAAGGGACCGACTTCTGGTCAAAACGTGTAGTAAAACTCTGGTAGAAATGAAAAGACCGTGAAATGTGATAGATTATTCTTATTCACGTTGTGATTAAGATTTATATTTGTGAATAGTGTTTAAAAGCAACAACAGCGAAAAAGAAAGACGGTTTGTTCGCGCAGTTTAGCAAAGAACCTTGAAGATGTATTATGGAGTCGATCACTTCGTTAAACGTGATCAAACGTTCGTGATTACGTATAGTCTGGTGTTAGCTGTCGTGTGCGCCATGATTAGTCCTTCAAAATTAGAGCATGCGTACCATGTATCCTTGTTCTAATTTATGCTGATTACGAAGAAAAACGAATTGCACAATAAAAAGCGTTGCTACCTAGGTGGTAGCCAGTGGTAGAGCGGATACCAGCGGAAAATGCCGAGCCACGGCGCATGCGCAGCAAATCTCCGCGCTCGAACTCGAACCGCTCTCGCGCTCACTGTTTGCAGCATAAGGCGTGCATTTTGTAGTAACTGTAATTACAGTTACGACGTAATTATTTACCTAACTGCAGTGCGGCCAGTCACGCCATGTTTTCTCACTAAACAATTTCAACCGCCCACTCAGCTTACATGCAGTCATTTTCGGTTGACCGCTCTTAGAGAAAAGAAAAAAAAAGATAATTCATGTTCTCTGCCAAAACGATGCATATCTATGGTACTGTCTTTACCGACGCATTCTTGTGCAGCAAAATATTGCGCCAGACACTATATTAATTGATTGATTTGATTTATTTGTGGGTTTTAACGTCCCAAAACCACCATATGATTATGAGAGACGCCGTAGTGGAGGGCTTCGGAAATTTCGACCACCTGGGGTTCTTTAACGTGCACCCAAATCTGAGCACACGGGCCTACAACATTTCCGCCTCCAGAAACTATATTAGACCATACAGTAAGTTGTTCTTACGCTTCCACTCTATTTGAGTCTTCAACACCTTGAAACCAAGTTATGTGAACTTCTTACGCCTATAAACTGTCAATCGCAATGGGTGTCTGAAAGTTATAGCCATCAAAACAGCGTTAAGATAGAGTGCCTCATTTCAATAGATGTTTTGAGCCAGAGCCTAAAGACCCGATGGGCTTGTGCAGAGTACAGCTTTCGTATCCATCAGTCAGTAGAAGTGTGAAAATTCGGCCATTGCAGGCGCATTTAGGAGCACACGGGTTGCGTAA